AAGAAAGAAAGAAAGAAAGAAAGAAAGAACTGAACAGTTTAATTAATCCGTTCCCTTTATAAGAACGAAACAAAGAAGGAAAGAAAGAAAAAAGAAAGAAAGTAAAAAGAAAGAAAGAAAGAAAGAAAGAAAGAAAGAAAGAAATAAAAACTAAACAGATTAATTAATCCGTTCCCTTTATAAGAACGAAAGAAAGAAAGAAAGAAAGAAAGAAAGAAAGAAAGAAAAAAGAAAGAAAGAAACCTGAACAGTTTAATTAATCCCTTCCCTTTATAAGAACGAAAGAAAGTGGGAAAGAAAGAAAAAAGAACGAATGAACGAATGAACGAAAGAAATAAAAAGAATGAAAGAAAGAAAAAAGGAAAAAGAAAAGAAAGAAAACAAAACCGAATGATATTCGTATAAGAGATTAGTTGAAACAAATTTAGGACGACCATCGAAGTAAAGAACAGAACGTATTGAACAATGGCAGGAAGAGAAATATGAACTGAAATTTTTCAAAATCAAAATCGATTAGACTTGAATGAAACGTAGTACAGAAACGATTTTCCATTGCAGGAAATGATATTTAAACATCAAAAAAGGAATTTGTTTAGTTCAATTTACGGTAAAAACTAAATGGTAAAACGAATTAAGATCATATATTTTTTTAAACAAATTGGTAAAAACCAGAAATTTAAAAAATAAAAGTTTCTAATACAATTGCTGAAAAGAATATGTTACCAGCAAAGAAAATGTTTTAAGTCTTAATACACCTGATGGTCGATACAAATTAACTCAGTCACAAAAATCATGAAAATACAAATAATAGTAAAATAAACATAATTTAATTATATAACGATGTTATTATTACTGCAATAATACTAATGGGATACTAATATTAATGCTACAAATAACAATTGTTATACTATTGCAGTATAATACACCTTTGAATATGATATAATTCAATTCGCTTGAAGTTGCCATTAATAAGTGATTAATTTATGACCAATAATAATTCTTATAAGCACGTCGAAATAAAAATGGGGCGAGGATTGGGATGGTAAGATATATACGGATGCATGTGTGGGTGAAATGCACTGGTTGACTGTCAATGCGGGAGAAAAGGGTCCTGTGTTTTCTTTTTCCTTTCTTCTAAGCTTGGTTTGGTTTAGCTCAAGAACACAAGAATAGCGTACCTCGTGAGGAACTTAAATTACTACTCAGTAGGATTGAACCAGACTTGAGTCTTAACGATAGCGTGACGCCCAAACAAATAGCAAGCACTATCAGGGGAACTGCAAACACATTGAATTTCTGAAGATGCATATACTTTTTTTTCAAAAGTGAACTATGGAGATGGAACACGAGGACACTAAAGGAACTTGTGAATTATTAAACTGTCTTTTCTCATAAGTTATTGGGACCATATATATATATATAGATATATATGAAGAAGTATACTCTTAAGCTTTGATAAATTTATGGGATAAAGTGCTCAATATCAGAGATAAAGCGTTTGTAAATATAAAAGTAAACATTGAAGTCAACACTTAAAGGCGACAGACTGTTTCATGCTAGACGCAATCGTCAGGGTGGCCTGATGATTGGGTCTAACATGAAACAGCCTGTCGCCTCTAAGTGTAGACTTCAATGTTCACTTATATATATATATATATATATATATATATATATATATATATATATATATATATATATATATAAAACTCGGTTGGGAAAAAAAAAAAGCTCGTATAGCACAACTTGAAGATATGCAAAAAAAATCGGTACCTGAGAAAAAATTGGGAAAAAAAAAAAAGAACTAAACACACAATATATATATATATATATATATATATATATATATATATATATATACACAAATGTAAAAGAACGAAGAGTAAGGTTTCAGCGTTCAAAACATTAAAACAGTGCCAAATACAAAAGTAGACCAATAAATCTTTATTTATTATGCACTGTTATATTAGAACATGTAAATACCCACTACAAGAGTGTACATCTTGTTTCAACGTTAAAATTATTAACGTTTCATCAGGTGGGAAATCACGATGCTACGTGATTTCCCACCTGTTGAAACTATATATATATATATATATATATATATATATATATATATATATATATATATATAAAATGTAACCCTTTCCCCAAGGACGTGCAGCCATAAAATTTGCACCATATTTCTCGTAGATATCTTCCCCTTGGGATGGCTGTAGGGTCAGGTTGGTTAAATATAGTTTTAAACTGGCCAAGGACTTAGTGCCATTTCGGTCGTCTATCGTCTAGTGTTGTTTCCTATTGACATGAAATAGGAGTTGCCCTTGTGGTATTTTCTTTGGCGACTAGACTGAAGAAAAGAAAGTCGCGCTCTTGTCGGAAGAAGTATAAATCTTGATCTTGGTTGAAAATGAGTTTTTAATAATAGTAAATAAAGATAGAATATTTACAAAAGTTTTATATTGCTTAACACATCTGGAGAGGGTAGCAACTTGGAGCCAAAGTTTGTGTTCTCAAACTTTTATCAGAGAATCGAATAACGAGTTAATTTTAGGAGGGTGGGAATTGCGTGGGTATTGATCAGCCAATCTTTGATGTATCTCTTCTTTCGAGTCTCCCGGCCCTCTCTGTCTCCGTTCACTAAAATGATGTATATAAGAGCACCTATAGACCCCGGGTTTTCTCACAATCCGTCGATCACAAGATGGGTCAAAAATGTAATTTCCTCTGTTGTTTTTTAACTTATCCAGATTTTAATATCGCCAACGTTCAAAATAACAACTTTTCATATTCATCTGATAAGCCTCGAAGGAACACACTTTCCTAACAAAAAGTTATTTATATATATATATATATATATATATATATATATATATATATATATATATATATATATATATATATATATAAGTCAATATTCATGAAGAGGAGAAATACATTGAAATCACCTTCAAATTTCTCGAGTAATCTAAATATTTTATGTAGAAAAACATCAACTATAGGCCCCTAAAACATTCTAAAACAAAAAACGCACTCTCCTGAGAAACTCAGGGAATTAAACAAGCATATTATCCTGTTTACTAATTATATCTGGTCTGCAATCGACAAAGTTTGCGAGAAAATTGTGACAAAAAGGAAGCTAAAAAATAACATCCGGAAGATCAAGTTGAGGTTTCTGGGGCATATAATGAGGTGGGAAGGCTTGGAAAATCTGATACTCACGGGGCAGATAGAGGGAAAGCTGGACAGAGGAAATCTACGCATAACATGTGAGTTTGAGTAAATGGATGGAGAAACAGGGTTTATAAGAAATAACAAAAAATCAAAATTTATTAAGAGCTACAAGGGGCAGGAAGTTGTGGAGAGCCATGCTCGCCTACGTTCTGAATAGACACAGCGGATAAAGAAGAAGGAACTTCCTTCAACCGCATTTTCTACCAATTTGCTATCGTCAGGCAAAAACTACAATTTTGCTGTCTGTCTACACCAAATTAGTAAAAACCGAGATAGCAAACAGATTGTTTTTCTAAAAACGTTATGCCTTAAATCGCTCTATATTGACTTTTTTTTTTTTAATTCTCTTGAGCTCTTTTTCATTTATTTAAATGTTTCTTGACAAATCTTGCTTTTTGTCAAGTGATGAAGGGATTTGTTTTAACTGAATTACGAAAATAAAAAAAAAACAAATAATTTAAATTCTTGAAGCCCTCTATATAAGAAAAAATACGACCAAAACTAAATAAGATAAATTATGAGTTTAACAACAATGTTTTAAAATAAAAGATTTTTTTTTAAAAATTACAATTACAAAAGCAATATTTTAAAATACTTTTTTTTTGTTTTATAATTTACAAATATAAATTAAGTTACCTCCCTTAGATAACATTAACTTTTGAATTAAAAATGCGCGTTTCACACGCATTTATAAAAAATCAGTTACATTATTTTTATCTTAGCAATTCATCCCTGAAGATGATCTTCGATGATACTAAAAGTAATTGGGAAAATAAAAGAAATGAAAAAAAAAAAAAAAAATCTACGGCGTCTTCCTTAATGAGTTTAATAACAACATTAAGAAATTGATCCATGGATTTGAGAGGATTAAAACTAGAATAAATAGACATAATATGTCTAGATTATTCAACCAAATACGTTTGAATGAATATATCCTGCCTAGTTGCATAATGCATTTCAGATGCAGCACAGGGTGTGATCTTCAACGATCACTGTCTTAATCACGGATTTCGGGGTTTGTATCATATCGGCTCAAACAGAAATCCCAACTTGATTCCAGAAAGGTAAGATCGCCTCCTTGATAGCATCGTGCTAAGCACCTCAACATAGAGAAGAAAGATTCAAATATGGCTAGGAGTCCGACCGTAGTTATTTGCATAATTCAGTCAACATCATCCAATGAAATAAAGGCTTTTCACCCCTTCCCTCCTACAGTGTGTTGTCTTTTAGCTCCATCCGGTTTTGATTCTAGCTATTTCCCCCGGAATCCATAACGAGGTAAGCTGGACTTGTTCTTGCATAGTTTAATCCAATGTTTCTACGTTTTAAATAGCAATCCCATATTTCTTTGACTAAAACATTACTTAGTACTTATATTACTGTTTCATAAAAAAAATGAATTATTCTTACTATTATATAACACTTTATGTTTAACCTTATACTCCTAAACAAACGAAATTAAAACAAAAAAAAACAAAAAAAAAACATGTATATACGTTCACGCCTCTATATATACATGTAGTACATGTGCTCACTCGCACATGCACAGGCACTCACACACAAAAATTCTATTATATATATATATATATATATGTGTGTGTGTGTGTGTGTGTGTGTGTATTGTATAATAAAACAAACAAGGACAGTGCTTGATACAAGATATAAAAATCTATACAAACTGCCAATCTGCTAAATATAAGTAAAACAATACTCAGATATTATTATCTTTCCGCGACTTAAGTTTTATGAGGTCAACTAGATACGTTGTCATGTGGCTGTCTCATAAACCTACCTATCTATCTATCTATCTATCTATCTATCTATCTATCTATCTGTCTGTCTGTCTGTCTGTCTATCTATCTATCTATCTATCTATCTCTCCCTCTCTCTCTCTCTCTCTATATATATATATATATGTGTGTGTGTGTGTGTGTGTAAAGAGAGAGAGAGAGAGAGAGAGAGAGAGAGAAGACTTATTAGAAAAAATATGCGCTCTCCGGTAGGATTCGAACCTAGGGGAAGCCGTCATTATATCTGACGCCTTTGATCTTTCCGCTACAGAATCCTCGGGGAACGCAGGTTCGAATCCTGCCAGAGAGCGAATGTATTTCTCTAATAAGATTTCTTGAATATCCAGGCCGTTAGACGAACACACACACACACACACACACACACACACACACACACACACACACACACACATATATATATATATACACACACATCTAAATGAAATAATAATAAAAAAACGAAAGAATATTAATCTACAACCCAGTGTGTCTGAAGATTTTAATTTTTTATTGTTCAATATATATATACATATATATATATATATATATATATATATATATATGCATACTCATGCATGACCATAAACATTAATGTTTTTATCTTTTGCGAACCCGTTTGTTGTCTACCATACATATTTGTTTGTACATGTATATCGGTTTATGGCCGTTTTTCTGTCATATTTTCTTTTGGTTAGACTCATCTTTAGTCTGACATATTTTTTAGTGAGTTTTATATTTCAGGAGTTCCACGCGTGTTCATATCTGAACGCGTAAAAAAAAAAAAAAAAAAAACACCGTCCATAACACCTTTTTATTGAAACGCTTGTTTTGCAGAACATACCATAGCTACAGCGGATACATTTAAAATTTTAAAATAATTAGAGATCGCATCTGCGCGTGATTTTTAAACATCACCATCACAACGGAATAGAAAATTTGTCTTTGAAATTTACCCATGAAGATGATCTTGAAGAAAGAACGAAAGTACTTGCGTGAGAAAAAAAAATACGTGTCTTCTATGATGAACTTAATCTTAACATTAAAAAAACTGATTCGAGAACTTGAAAGGATTACTAAGAAAATAGATACAATATATCTATATTATTCAATGATACACATCTATCTATCTATCTATCTATCTATCTATCATCTATCTATCTATCTCTCTCTCTCTCTCTCTATATATATATATATATATATATATATATGTATGTATAAATATATATATATATATATATATATATATATATATATATATATATGTATAGGATTGGTGCATACGGAATAAGTCCCAGTAACTAAAAAATCCTCTGCTTAATAGAGTGCCCAATACAGAGTAGAGCAAATATAATTTATTCGAAAATTATAATATAAATATCTTACAAAATCACTACATAAATAGCCATTTTGTTTCAACACTTCTGGTGATTTATCAACTCATGGTGTTGAATGCAGCTTCTACATTCAACATATATATATATATATATATATATATATATATATATATATATATAGAGAGAGAGAGAGAGAGAGAGAGAAAAGTGAGAAAGAATAAGAGAATGAGAAAGAAAGAGAGGGAGGGAGAGAGTCCAGACAAAAATGTGCACACTTCAGGAAAGGAAAAATATGTCTTTCTGTTTGCTGTAGTACGATATTTTCTCGACAGATGGCGTTACATTGGCGGTCATTGGATAAGAAATTGAAAATGTATGTGCAATAGCAATCTCAACCTTTTTCAAGCATTATTTCACGGTACTAATAAATGTCTTGAATCTAAAGGTCACTAATTTGAACATCTCTTGTGAATACTAAATTTATCCAGACATCATAAGATTAATACAAGTTACCTTTGAGTCTACAATCACAAGAGATGACAATAGAAGATTTCTTTCCTGGTGTGTTTATACTTTTTTTGACAAATTCTAAAATTATATATATATATATATATATATATATATATATATATATATATATATATATATATATATATATATATATATATATATATATATATATATATCGTTTATGCAAACTTAGGTAATCCGTATGGTGAAATAACAACTTTTGGAAGTAAAGTCTGATTATCCGAACCCTGTTAAAGGGGTTATGGCGAAATAACTTATTACATGGAATCTTAACGTGGTCTGTTTTTTATTCAAATATATATATATATATATATATATATATATATATATATATATATATATATAGCCAACGAAAAAAAGCAAATTCATGGTCATGTTATATTGAATAATATATACATTTACGTGAAGAAATACGAAATACAATGATGAAAAATGCGTTTGACGCCACGATATCTCCTGTTTAAGACAATTTCCTATCTTGTCAATGCACTTAATTCAGGGCGTCTCCATAGATCACATCCAACGCATCATTATACGGACTGCGTCAGACTCAAAAGTTATTGATCTGATTTTGTTATGAAATAAAAAGGAAAGAGACACGAAAATATATGAAATGTTGTTTTCTAAAAATACTGACCCACTCTCGCTCACGACAACTCACGGGCAAGAAAAAAAATTAACCTAATAAAATACATAACTGCATTTGAACTTACACGACATTTTCAAAAATAAAAGGTATTAACAGAAATATTTCAAATATAACTTCACAGGATAGCAATGGAAGTCGCCATTAAAACAGGGGTTCAATTTATTTTCGGTTGATAATTTCCAAAGAGTACATCAATTGCGTTGAAGATTCAAAAAAAGTAAAAAATTATTCACTAGTTTTGGAGCCTAAATATAACGTGTCCTATGTTCTAATTTCTAAAAAAAAAAAATACTTTCACAAACCTCTAACATATATATACACATAAAACACACACACACACACACACACATATATATATATATATATATATATATATATATATATATATATATATATAAATATATATAATTGTTTACTTGGAATTATAAATAACATATTTCGTTGGATTGCATGAATGTAAAACGTTTCACTTCGGTTTTCAAAAGCATTCATTACTGAACAATAAGCAGAATCTACCTAAACATAAACACACAAACACGCACGCGCACATACACATGCACACACACGCGTACACACATACACGCACACACACACATATATATATATGTATGTATGAATCGCTCTCTCTCTCTCTCTCTCTCTCTATCTATCTATCTATATATATATAGAGAGAGAGTATGTATATATGGATGTATGAATCTCACACTCTCTCTCTCTTTCTCTCTCTCTCTCTCTATATATATATATATATATATATGTATAGAGAGAGAGAGAGAAGAAAGAGAAAGAGAGTCACACTGGAAGGGAATAATGTATTTCGGCAAACCATTATTAAATTAGCGTTATCTCCTCGCAGGGTAAATGACCTTATGCCTGTTCCTATGCACATTTGAAATCGCATTGATAAATAAAGAGAGAGAGAGAGAGAGAGAGAGAGAGAGAGAAAGACAGACACAGAGACAGAGAGACAAAGTATGGAGGGGTGCTTCAAATTGAGATGAAAATCTATAAAAGGAGAATTTGTGAGAACCTATATATATATATATATATATATATATATATATATATATATATATATAAAGATATTCACCTACTTGTGTTTGTGTGTGCCCGTGTTTATAAATGAGCCAATTTACATATGCACCAGCACCACATAAATATAAATATATATATATATATATATATATATATATATATATATATATATATATATATATATATATATGTGTGTGTGTGTGTGTGTGTATGTGTATGTGTGACAATTACTGAATATATAGGTTTTGTCATGTTAAAACGAATTTAGAAGAAAATAGCAAAGGACTTTTTGTTTTATATAATACAAAAGAAGACATTTCTTCTCAAAACACACGGAGATACAGAAGGGAAAATGCAGAACTGATTCACAGTGAAAATCTTGTAATGTAGGAGAGTTCATTGATCGATATGAATGTTTAACTGTTTTTTTTTCAGGTGCATGTCAAGAACAACTGTCACCATTTTGGACAAAATATGCTATAAGTATGCAACTGGACAGAACAAGTTGATTTATGCTATATATTCAATAATTCAAGAGCTTTGTGTAACTTTATCTCATTGGACAGTGCATATGCATATGCAGGGGAAATATTTTTATTGGTTAGGGAGGTTATTTGAGCAAGGTCGATATTATATATATATATATATATATATCCTTTTTTATTCTTCCTTTTTTGTTGTCGTTTATCAGGTTTTGTGTCCTCGTTCTTTCTTCTTTCTTTAATCTTCATTTTCTTTCAATTAGACTTTCACAGATCGTTTTGTCTTTTGTACTGTTTGTTCTTTCTTTTGGACATTAATTCTCTTTTATTTTTTCTCCTTTCGTCAATTTTCTTTTCATTTCTACGGTTCTTATTTTCTGTCGCCTTTGTTTTTCCTTCTTTCTCCCTTAATCTATTTTTCTTTCAGTTTTTTTCTTTCTTTCTTATTTAGTTAAAGCCATGTTTACATTTCTCCTCTGTTTTTCCTCGTTTCTCTCTTATTTTTCTTCTTTCTTTCTCCTTTCTTTTGTTTTCTTTCTTATTTCCCTTCTGACTTATTTGTTTCTACTTCTCTTTCTTTCTTTCCTTCTTTCTTTCTTTTTTATGCCTTCATTTCTTTCTTTCTTTCTCTTTTCTTTGTTTTGTCTCTCTCACCTTTTCTTTCTTTCTTCTTTGTTTTGGGTTTTCCCCTTTCTTTCTTTCTTTCTTTCTTTCTTTCTTTCTTTCTTTCTTTCTTTCTTTGGGACACCTATCTCCCAACTACGTATCTAGACTGGATACTCCTTCTATCATCCAATGTTATATTTCTTTGGTTTGTTGTTCTCTTTCTTTCTTTCTTTCTTTCTTTCTTTCTTTCATTCTTTCTTTATTTATTTCCTTCTTTCTTTCTCCTGTGTTTTGTTTTTCTTACTTTTTCTTTATTTCTTTGCTTCTTTCTTTCTTCTTCGTTTTGTCTTTTTCTTATTTCATTTTTAACTTACCCTTTCTTTTTTCTTTCCACGTTTTTGTATTTCTCACTTTTTCTTTCTTTCTTTCTTTATTTCTTTCTTTCTTTCTTTGGGACACCGATCTCCCAAGTACATATCTAGACTGAATTCCAACGTTATACTTCTTTGGTTTCTCGTTCCTTCCTTCTCCTTTGTTTTGGCTTTTTCACTCTTTCTTTCTTTCTTTCTTTCTTTCTTTCTTTCTTTGGAACTCAGATGACCCAACTGCATTTCTAGACTGAATGTTCCTTCTATTATCAAATGTTATATTTCAAGGGAATCCTTTCCAAAAGTTTATGACATCTTAGAAAAAAAAGGACCGTTTTGTTTTTGTCGGAATATCATCATAATATTGATTTCATGCTAATTATTATTAAGACATTTAAGATCGATAAATATCTTCTCATCCCTTACCTTTTCTGAAAAAAAATGTACTTCATCAAGTATTATTTAACCTGTCACATACAACGCGTTTCCTCTCTTACAGCTTCGATTAAATTTGAACGAAAGAAAGATGAAAAGTGTGCTGCTGACAGCCACTTTTGTACGTATTGAAAATCACGCCTCACTCCAATGCGATCTATTTTGTAAGGAGTATAGCTTGTTAAGATATTTTTGTTAAATCTTTTAAATGACCATTTTACTTAAATTATTGATTGATTCTTAGATCGATGGCTACCGTACCGCAATAATATTTCAAAACAGTTCCATATTGAATGCGTATATTGCTAACGTATGCGAATATTTAAATAATTATACACTGAAAACACTTTGAGCAAAACGATCATCTTTAGTTTTTATGGAAGCCTACCCGTGCCTACACTGATAATGATACTGAAACTTTTTCATAAATTTAGAAAAAAGTTGTTTGGTATATAACCAGGACCATTCGTCTAGAAACTGTAATTCCCTAATGTTAGCCGATTAAAGATTTTGATAAAATTGTTTTTGACTGAGCAGATAATATTCACCTGATGAGAATGAGGCATATTGTGATGTTAAATAATATTATGACAACACCGTAATAATTTATGTTAGTCTATGGGTATAACTGAAGGAATTAATTCCTTTTTTTTATACAGTTGATATTAGGTAATGCAGATGTTTCCCGCAATATAATTTTTTTTTAAGCATTACGCCCCAAGCAAGGCGTGAAGCCACTAGGATGCAGGGGGTTGCGGAAGATTTGGAGCGAGAGCAGATAGGAGTGATAGAGGAAAGGATGAGGAGAAGGATAGTGGATAGATCAAGACAACTGGAGATGTCGATTGTCATTATATTTGAATAGTTGGAGATTATAACTTTCAGGGAAACAGTAATTGGGGAGGGTGTTCCACAGGCGAGAGGTGCGAGGTATGAAGCTATTGGAGTAGAAGAGACGGCTACATTTGAAAGTTTCTACGGTGTAAGGGTTGGAGCGGGATGCCAGCCTCGTAGGGCGGTTGAATTCATGGAGTCTGGGAACCAGTGAAAGCAGCTCATCGGAGCAATTACCATGGAAGTATTTGTAGAAAAGACAGAGAGAGGCGACGGCGCGTCTGTGAGGGAGTGACTGCAGACGAGACGCTAGATCAGGGCCAATTCGTCTCTGGATCTTGTCAAGAACTCCGAGGTAAGCAGAAGGTGCTCCAGCCGATATATGACAGCAATGCTCCATGCAAGGGCGAATGGTTTCTATAATCATTATAATTCTATCTACCTCATAAGCATCTTTAAGAAGAGCAAGTTGAAATGATACGGACACGTCAAAAGAACCCACTAATTCATCCAAAGTACCGACTTGGGCAAAAGAAAAAAAAATATAGACAGACAGAACGTAAAGAAATGGTCTGGTACCGTCTCCCAGTAGAATGAAAGGGGGAAGGGCTCAGAACTTTACATGAAACCCAGTCCTAAGGAGAAGAGCTAATCTGAGCAGCGAACTTATGACAACACACGGTCATCTGACTGATAATAATGATGTCATTGTTGTCGTGGTGTTGGAGTTGGTGGTGGTGATGATGATGATGATGATGATGTTTTTTTACTGTTATTGGTGGTTGTGCTAGTGGTGGTGGGAATGATGATGATGATCGTTGTGTTGTTGGTGGTGGTGATTTTGCTTCTGATGATGATGATGGTCTTTGACAACATTATGACAGCACCTAAATACTTATTATTGCAGTATAATTGTTATGATGTTGACTTGGAGTTAGTAGAGACAAACGCCAAATAACACGTAACAATAAAAAGGGTTTTAATAGTTTGGTAAAAAGGTACAGAAATCGCCTGAGTAGTCAATAACTAGCTCAGCTAAGAACTTATCGGTGTATCTATCTTAGTATTTATCGATCCACCCACGAGGATTGAATATGGCACAAGGCCGGTTTAATGTGGGTTGATCCGAGCCCTTAGGCTCGGCCAAAAATATAGCCCTTGAACCCGCCTAGACGGGTTCAGGCCCTGTTCCATTCCCCGACGAAACCTTGCCCTTCGGCAAAGCTTGTCTGGGTTCCTCTGCTGAAGCAGAGAGTTCGACAGACGTCGCTTACAGTCAAAGACTGTATCACGACTCAGCTAGACTCGGAGGTCTTACCCTCTCGGTCTATCTATCTTCCCCATGTCAACTGACATGCCACTATTTAAAGTCTTTGTTCACAGACACAGACAAGTTCATCTTCAAGAGGGGTGGTAGGTTTCCGACACAAGTATTAATATTCACGAATTTAATTTCCTTTAGATGCAGTTAATAGTAGATGAGCAGAACGTTTTACCACAAGTGACACAGGTTTTCAATAGCTTTTCAGTGTCATTAATAATAAATGCTTTTTTTTATTTTTATTTTTTTTTATTACTGTGTATTACTACTGTTGGGGCCACCCACCTTCTCATCAGAATGGACTGATCTCTCTACTACTAATAGGACAGTTCTATAGAGTTCTGGGAAGATCAGGTGACCATCACACTTCCGTCTCTCTACCGGAAGATACAGTAGGACTTTATACTCTTTCTGATTGTTACTGACTAACCTGCGTTCGTTTGACTACTAATCTCTCTGTTGTAAATACCTCTTCAGATATACCAGTATTTTTCCCTACGTATGTGTTTGTCCTTATTTCAATACACGCACGGGGAAACACTCAATATCTAAAAAACCACTTCCTGTTACAGTATAAGTATGCTTTTATATTTAATTCCACTGTTTTCTTATGATTTTTTGTTTGCTTTCAATACAGTTAACAGTAGATTAGCCAGCCGTCTTCCACAAGTTATACAAAGGGTCAATATCTTTTCACTGTCTGTGAGCTCAGATATTTTATTACAACTCCATATTAATTTATTATTTACATTATTCGGACTATTGTCCTCATCTTTGTCGACAAATTTATCACAACGTTTCGGCCGTTGAACGCTCTGGCCTTCTTCAGATGGTTGAAAAGATGAGGACAATAGTCCGAATAATGTAAATAATGTACATAATACCTCATCTCAGAAATATAGACAGACTCCATATTAATCCTTCCTGTTACTCTTTGGGTAAAATTTAAAGATTTATTTCTCGTTTTTGTTTATGCCGTTAACAGCCGATGTGACATGCGTCGAACAAAATACACAACATTACAATAGCTTTTCAATTTCACTTGTTTATAATCAAGATGATTTGATGATTAATATTTACAATATTTTTTTTTCATATTTACAGGTTCCGAATTTTGTTACACGTATGCTTAAAGAATGGCTTTCAAAATTCTAAGATTGAGAGGTTGGGTGCAAACTAGGCTTGGAAAAACTGAAATATTCAAAACACTTTTGGAATTATAATATTTTGCGTAGTTTCTTTGTTTTCGTTGTTTTATTCTGTTGCTGCAATCTTCAGCCTTCTTCGCATGTCTGCTATAACTAGGAACGCTCATTCTTGTTTTTATAGAAAGTTTGATCTTTTTCTCATATGGCTTTATTAAGCGGGCTCTCCTTGCGAGTGCGCTTGTGATAGACTTTTTCATTCCTGGAGACGTAACTTTGGAGTGAATATGATGAAACAAAGAAACGAAGATTGAACCTACCTACTTAGGAATGGTTTCCTCTATAAAACTAAAAATAACACGCAAGAACTCTTCATAATTTTATGGACACAGAAATTGGCGAAGATTTGGTATTGGAACATCCGGATTGTAATAACAATTTTGGTTACAGAATCGGAAGTGAACTATATAGCGAGGTAATGCATTCTCCAAAGATTATCAGTACAACGAAAACTTAGACATATTGCTAATTATTGCAACGGAATTCAAGATATTTGTTTTTCGGTCAGAGTAAATACTTTCCTTCCTTACCTGTTGTTTTGTGTATCCTCGTACATATATGCCATGGCGTTACAGTCCAATATCGCGAAATGTGTAATAAATCCATCATAAGAAATATTTGGCTTGTGTACTCACCTGGAAAGAAAAAGAATAACAACGAATATTATCAAGGAAAAAATGTAATATATTAATATTTAAGCTGATATATATATATATATATATATATATATATATATATATATATAGTAGCAGAGCCCGGCGTTGCCCGGGGATGTAACAATAAAAAAGATAGATCAAGTATCGACCATCATAAAGACTGAAAAATAAAATTGACAAAGAATATTGTTTAAGGTTGACGGACACGCTTGTCTTAATTAGTGTTTTTTTTGTTTGTTTTCAATCGTTATGAGTCTATCGATTGAATTGAATTTTATTATAAACAATTGTCTTGTAAATGGAATTTTTAAAGCATTCTGAATGTAAAAATAAAGAAAAAAGTGTGCAAGACAATAAGAAACACTACCTGCCAAAAAAAGTGAAGTTTTGTTGAAATCGGTTGAAAAATTTAGGAAATCCGATCCCATATATAAACGAACACACACACACACACACACACACACACACACACACACACACAAACAACCTGGATTTTATAAGTATAACTCGATATGAGTTGTCCCCCTTTCATTCTGGCGACAGAATCGTGTTTTATCGTGTTTTCAAATTGATTTCGTGCAAAAACAATAGTGTTTTTCTAATTTTTGGCGCTGTCAAAACCACCGCAAGGTAATTTTACGTAGTCCTGTGAAGTTTTGTTGAAAGCGGTTGAAAAACGTAGGAAACCTGATCCAATATATAAACGTACAGACACACACACACACGCGCGCACAAACAACCTGGTTTTTATAATAAGTATAACTCGATATGAGTTTCCCCCTTCATTCTCGCGACAGC